ACTCTTGTGGGACACTCTTGTAGGACACTCTTGTGGGACACTCTTGTGGGACACTCTTGTAGGACACTCTTGTAGGAAACTCTTGTGGGGCACTCTTATAGGACACTCTTGTGGAACACTCTTGTGGGACACTCTTGTAGGACACTCTTGTGGGACACTCTCGTAGGACACTCTTGTGAGACACTCTTGTAGGACACTCTTGTGGGACACTCTTGTGAGACACTCTTGTGGGACACTCTTGTGGGACACTGTTATAGGACACTCTTGTAGGAAACTCTTGTGGGACACTCTTGTAAGACACTCTTGTGGGGCACTCTTATAGGACACTCTTGTGGGTCACTCTTGTAGGAAACTCTTGTGGGACACTCTTGTAGGACACTCTTGTGGGACACTCATATAGGCCACTGTTGTGGAAAACTCTTGTGGGACAATCTTGTAGGACACTCTTGTGGGTCACTCTTGTAGGAAACTCTTGCGGGGCACTGTTTCGGGACACTCTTGTAGGACACTCTTGCGGGACACTCTTCTGGGACACTCTTGTGGGACACTCTTGTAGGACACTCTTGTAGGAAACTCTTGGGGGGGACTGTTTTGGGACACTCTTGTAGGACACTCTTGCGGGACACTCTTGTAGGACACTCTTGTGGGACACTCTTGTAGGACACTCTTGCGGGCCACTCTTACGGGGCACTCTTGTGGGACACTCTTGTGGGACACTCTTGTGGGGCACTCTTGTGTGTCACTCTTATGGGACACTCTCTTGCGAGACACTCTTGTAGGACACTCTTGTGGGTCACTCTTACACGACACTCTTGTAGGACACTCTTTGTGGGACACTCTCAAAAGCACTCTTGTGGGTCACTCTTATGGGACACTCTTGTCGGACATTCTTGTGGGACAGTCTTGTGACACACTCTTGTAGGACACTCTTGTGGGTCACTCTTACAGGACACTCTTGTGGGACACTCTTGTAGGACACTCTTGTAGGACACTCTTGTGGGACACTCTTGTGGGACACTCTTGTGTGACACTCTTGTAGGAAACTCTTGTGGGACACTCTTGTAGGACACTCTTGTGGGGCACTCTTATAGGACACTCTTGTGGGACACTCTTAAGGGACACTCTTGTGAGACACTCTTGTGGGACACGGTTGCGGGACACTCTTGTGGAACACTCTTGTGGGACACTCTTGTGGGACACTCGTGTCGCGACACGGTCTGCCCACACACTAGAAGCAGTCACGCGAGCGTTTCGTACGAGACTTCCTCCAAAAGTCACGCTTCGAGGCTGCAACACGAGCGTTTCGTACGAGACTTCCTCCTAAAGTCACGCGTCAAGTCTCCAAAACGGAGCGTTTCGTACGAGACCTCCTCCAAAAGTCACACGTCAAGTCTCCAAAACGAGCGTTTCGTACGAGACTTCCTCCAAAAGTCACGTGTCAACTCTCCAAAACGAGCGTTTCGTACGAGACTTCCTCAAAAACTCACGTGTCAAAGTCTCCAAAACGAGCGTTTCGTACGAGACTTCCTCCAAAAGTCAAGCGGAAACACCCATCGGAGCACACACATCACGCAGCCCTGCCAAGCAGTTTCGCGATTCCAGCCCCTCCAAACAACACCCGCTCACACGCCAATCCCAATGAGACAACGACAGTCACCTCTACCACAACTCACAACCTCACGATTCCCTGCGCCTGCCACGCATCTTTCCGCGTCCACACGTCTAACGCGCACAAAGTACTGCGCCTGCCACGCAATGTCACCTCCGTCACACCTCGCAACCTCAGGATTCCCTGCGCCTGCCACGAAAATCACACTTCCATGCCTCAAAACCCGCACAAAGTACTGCGCCTGCCGCGAAAAGTGACAATATCATCTCATGTGAGCTTCAACAAAATTCGCACCACACCACACGTTTGGAATGATTTCGATCCGTTCTGAGCACACTCCCATCCACCAAAATCGCCATTTCAGCTGAGACTTGTCACGAAAACAGAGCTTCGATGCCACATCCTGAAACGCAAATCCCAATGGCACGGCCACATCCAACACCCCAAAAACACGACTCTCCAAATGCTAATCCCAATGGAACTGCGTAGCAAACTGAGGATCTCACAAAACGCTGCGCCTGTGCAGCGAAATGCATCACGCTTCTTGCGCGACATGTCATTTTCATGCAAATCACAATGGAATAGCGTCGCAAACTGACACGTGACACATCCATGAAAAGTCACTTGCAAAAGCTTCCCCCAATGGCAGCGCCTTAGCGCTCTACTGCGAACGGTTGCGGACGGTTGCCAACGGTTGCGAACATAGAAGCAACGGGTCGCGAACAAAGCTCTACCCCCAGACCCCCAAGAGTTAAACGAGAACCCTTCGCTACGCATTCGGGAAAGAGAAAAACAAAAACAAATAAGAACATTGGATACACATAAAGATGCACAGCCACACAAACAAATAGACAAATAGCTATTTAGATAGGTAGGCAGATTGACAAAGCGATAACAAAAAACAATATTGTTGATAGACAAATAGATAGACAGATCGATTGATCGATAGGCACGAGGAAAGATACACAAATATATATATATATGCAAAGATAGACAGGCAAATAAGAAGACAGTGGCTATGGCTAAAGCCTTTCCTTAGAAAAGTGCAAAAGTGATGAGAAGGAAACATACAGAAAAGGGAAGGTTGGTACAAAGCCTACTGTGTATTCGGAGCCAGCTTCTAGGCTTCTGATTCCTCAAAGGCAACCTGGACAAATCCCAAGAAGGCAGCTAGATGCAAAAATAATTGCCAGTGAACACAGTTGGAAATGAATGTCAACATAAGTAGTAATGTGCTGTGAACATAAGTGACAAACTCTGTGTGTTGCTCAGTACTGGCAATCTAATGCTTTGTTTGCAGGCTGAAAAGTTTTTGGATCTTGGTCCCTGATGGTTGCAAAAGCAGTGGCAATTCCCACAAAATGCAGAAGTGCAAAAGTATGTCAATTGGACAAGTAAGTCAACACCTGCAGGAAAAAGTAATCCGACAGCAAACACATGAAAAAGTAATGCCTTTCATGTTGCTTCTGTCTTCAGAGCATTTTGCAGCTAAATCTTAAGAGTTGACTTCTAGATAATTTAACAAGCTACTGTGTATATATATATATAAACAAACTCTGATTTGTACATTGTCTATAAACGATAAGGACAATTGAAATTGTACCTCCTTCAAACCGGTCTTAACTGATCGGTGGGGTACCGAGGTCATTCGCTCTATGGTGGACCAGGGGTCCAGGTTTTTCACAACCCATCTACCTTCTCAGGTGATTGGAGAGACGCTTATGTAGGTCTGGTGGGTCCAAGCACCTTCTGAGAATGTACTTGGATCCCTAGGCGATAAATGATCAAACATCAAAAAGCAGCTTCATCAAAGTGACCTTTGTGGAGACATGTGGTGTCATGTGGTGTCCAACAACAACAAATCACCTGATTCCTCTGTTGCCTGTGATGTCACGGCCTCTGACTGCCCACGACCATCCACCCCAACAAAACGACCCGGGCTCGCAGATTTGCACCTGGATTAGTAGTAGCAAGGGCATCGCTACTAGTAGCTCCTGGGACTACTATGAGTAGCAAGAAGTTACTACTAACATGGCCACCTCACTAGTAGCTCCTGGCATTACTGTTAGTAGCAAGAAGCTAGTAGTAACAAGGGCATCGCTACTAGTGGCTCCTGGCACTACTGTTAGTAGCAAGAAGCTACTAGTAACAAGGGCATCGCTACTAGTAGCTCCTGGCACTAGCAAAAAGCGACTAGTAACAAGGGCATCGCTGCTAGTAGCTCCTGGCATTGCTGGTAGTAGCAAAACGAAGGGACCTCCTTGCTTGACATGACAGCTGAGGTTTGCTTCACGTGGCTCAGCTGGAGATCGAAAAGCACGACTTTCACTGGTCACGAGCCCGACCGGTTACGTGGGATGTTTTCGTGGGGAGGTGTCCAACCCCCCTTGGTCCTATCCTACGCTCCCCATCCCAAAGGTGACCTGCGACCCAGTGAACTCCGGAGGATGGCGATGTTTGTAGTTGAACGACGGCAGTTCCTGCCGAGCGACTCCGGGATCAGCATCCTCATCACTGAAGAGGTGTCCACAGGGCTGTAGTCATAAAGACCTCTGGAACCAGGAACTCCCACCCCTCCTCTTGTGGTGGGCAATGATTGGACCGTGAGAATCCTTAGAGCCTCGATATGGGATTCCATTCATCAGGGTCCGGACCCTGAAAACCATGTAACCTTGAGAGAGCCCGGGTTCGTAGGGCACACAAAAACGGAGGTCTTCACTGGTGACCTGTTGGAGGGTGGTGCTAACAATCTATTGAAGTGCTTTTTTACTGTCCTCCAGCATTGCAGTGGTGTGCATGGTCAGCCCCCAAAGTGACTGCATCAAATGAATCAAACAGGGACTACCAAAACAAGACGGTCTTGCGGAGATGAATTGGGCTCTAAGAAAATGCGAAAGCTAAAAAGCGCTGCTTTTTGCTGCGTGCGCTTGATCAAGCTGCAGTTAACACCGAACATGCCACTAGACACCGCTGAACATCAACTTTCACATTGGAAAGGAAGGGTGTTGGCTGTTCGGTGCCGAGCGAATTCGTTGGCGCGGCCAACGGCAAAAGTCTCACGTGGCGCTGCCACTGACTTGTCCTGGCCCTGCCAGTTGCTATTCTGGCTCCGCCATGAAGTGTTTTGACTTGGCGCTGCCATAGTCTTAGAACGGATCTTCCGCCTTTCACGTTGTCCCTTTCTTAGCTGCCTGCGGTGTTCCTCAATCTCGCGTTCCTCTGGCGTCTCTTTGAGACTGATGGTCTTCTTCCGCAAATACTCCTCCCACAGCACGTTCTTCATAGGTTTTGTAAGTCCATCAGCGTGCTGTCGATGGGTTGGTACCCAAAACAACCTGTAAATCTGCTGCTCCAAGAGGTCCTTCGCGACAAGCAGATCTAACATGGTTTGTCTTTCAGCCGGAATTTGACCAGTTGCTCCAAGATGATCGAAAAGAGACTTCGCATCTGTCACGATGCCACCTCCGACACGAAGCTTCTCACGCCAGTCGGAGCCAACTTTGAAAACGCCATGCAACATCATGTCCGCAATCAGGCGAATGTACAAATGCCTGTCCACCGCCACACTGAGCGAGCATGACTCTGCTGCCATGGAACTTCGAACAACTCTGCTGCTTTTGTTGGTCGTGTAGTCGATTGCTGCAGCTGGCTGTGGTCCATGAATGACATCTTCATTGGACAAAAAGTGAATCGCACCAAGTTGCGATTTGCCATCCTTCTCCTTGCCCAAGCTGGCGTCAAAGTAGGTCACCAAAAACAACTTGCCACGGATCCGAGGGTACGGCAGAACAGATCTGCCTTGGCGAGCTTCTTCTTTGCATTCTTCAAAAAGCTGAAGGGCCGCCTTATAGTCACCCATCGTGGCTTTTGTTGCATACTGCGCCAGCTTGCTCGTCTTGTACAAAAGCTGCGGCATTGACTGCTGGCCAGGCCATCGCAATCTCATGACCAACTGTCGATATGCCGTGAGCTGCTGGGCATCAAGTGGCTTGTCATCATTCTTGGGCTCCAGCTTCATGCTTGGAAGGGCGATCTTGGCGATGTAGTTTGACATATCGTCAAAAAGTTCTTCACCCTTTTGCTTGAGGTCCACGCCTAGGAAGGTCAAAGGAATCGACTTCCATTCTTTGATCGTGAACATCTTGTTGATGTCACTCTTCAACTTCTGAAAGCGTGGATCACCTTCATCGCCAAACAAGAGCCCATCATCAACATGCAAGCTGAGAATGCTCCAGGCTTTGTTGCCTTCCGCGGCCACGAAACTGCTCTTGCTAATGGGCAGTTCTTCCAGAGGTGTGGTCGTGAGCAGCTTGCTAGCACGCAAGTACCAAAGCCTTGGGCTTTCAACCAAGCCGTACGCAGATCGGAGGATCTTCATCAATTCTCCAGCTTTCACCGGAGGCTCTCCCTCAACTGCTGGTAGACCTTCTTCTGGAGCTCTGACATAGACGTCTCTGGTGAGGTTCTCACCTGAAAGGAATGCCGTGGTGACATCAAATGACCATCCTTTCCATCCATTCCGAACCGCCACAGCTTTTGACGTCCGAACTGCCTGCAGCGTTGCTGTAGGACTGTCGCTCCTGAAGTGACCCAATCCAGGATCTCGGTGTCCAGGAACTACCAGACGGGATTTCGCCACCAACGGTGCCAGGAGTTGAGTCTGCTTGTTGACTCGCACCATTCGCAAAGGAGCTTTGAAAATGAGGTGCCTGGGAATCTTTGCTTCCTCCTCCTTTGACAACCGCTTGATGACTTTATTGCGGACCCACTGCTGCCACTCTTTGGCATCTGCTTTGAGGAACTCTGCACGCTCCTTCTCATCAAAGAACTTTGGATCCAATTCCTTGCCGCTCTGCTTGAGCTTAAGGAGCATCACCTCTGCCAGCAGGTGATCATGCAGATCTTCCAGCCAAAGATGCTCAAACTGTCGTCGCTCCTCCTCTTTCAAATTGGCCTCATAGATCCCATCAGGAAGCTGGATGTAGGTTTTCTGCTCTGTTGGCGGTGGCTCATTCTTCAAAAAGAAAGTCATTCCTCGCCATGGAAAAGATGACCTCCGCCGGGGATGCTTTGCAGCTTCCTCTTGATCTTCTTCCACCATGAAGATGTTGTCCGGATCCTTGCCCATCAAAATTGTCACCCGAGCTCGCTTGCGAGGTGGCTTCATGAACCGTTTTCGGGGAAAGCGATGTAGCCTCGCAGCTGTGATCGGCAATCCAGTGAGTTGCCTGAGCAGTTCCACTTCATGGCGGGTGATCCATTCGTTGGCAGGTCCTTCTGAAACTGTGGAAGCGAGCACGTGCATGAACAAAGCTGTGCTCGGTCTGGCCCTCTTCAAGGGGAGTTCTGAAGTGGTGGATCCTTGCAGTTTCCGCTTAATGCTGAAAGGAACATCATCTGTGAGACGCTGTCTTCGGGCCTCTGTAGGCAATTGCTCCCAATCTGGTGGATGATCAGGACGTGGTGAATCTGCCGGCGAAGTCGGTGAATAGTCGGATAGACCACCTGAATCATCAATCGGCACATCGACACCAGATGTAGGGGCAGGTTCCAATGGTGGCTCAGCCACGGATACTGGTGGTGGCTCAGCCACATCTGGAGGTGCGTCCTCCAAAGCCAGGCGCCGCCTTACGACACGCGGTGCCGGTTCCAATGGCGCTGCCGCGGGTTGAGCAGGTAGAGGAGCACGAGGTGGTTCTTCTCGATGTAGTGGAGGTTCAACTGCCGCTGGCAACTCCTTCCTCTTCTTCTGCCGTGGTAGTTGTGACATCTGAGGTCGCTGATTCAGCAGCCTTCGAACCGCTTTTGTTCCCCTCAAGATGTTCTTTGCTCTCAGCCTCTGTGGATCTTCGGGAGGACGAGGTTCTCTCTTCTTTCGAGGTCTCGGAGGCGGTGGTTTTGCTCGAGTAGATGTTAGACCTCGTTGGATCTCTCAAAAGCTCTTGGATGTCCAGGACATCTTCCTTCACCGGTTCCGAAAGTGCTAGCTCCTCTGGAGTTGCAAGCCTCATGTTCTCCTCAGCTAGTAGGAGTAGTCGTCCTCTCCAACTCACAAAGTATCTTTTCTGTTGCTCTTGAACCAACACTGTAGCCGGACCACGCCATTGGCCACTGTCACGGTTGTAGCGCTTGAGCTGCGGCACCCAAAAGTAAATCTGAGCACCTGACACGAATGGTCCTGTGGCCGTGGGTGGCTTGCGTAGCAATGTCCTCCTGAGCTTGTCACGGACATCTTGACGAATAAGAGCCACGCGAGCTGTTGTGCGCATCTTGTGTGCACGAGCCACCTCACTGTCTGCAGATAGGCCTTGAACGAAGCTCATTCCAACATCATCTGCAGTCAAGCTCGGCCATTTGTGCTCAACGCCAAACACCCTTTGATTTGGGGTGTAACCGTCTTTGGTCAAGGTAGCATTCTTTGCCATCACTGCACAGGACAAAGCTTTCTTCATTTGGGTATAGCCAGTGATGCCGTGCTCATCAACAATCGCCTGAAACATGACTCCCAGTGTGGCTCCGTGACGCTCTCCCGCGCTCAACTGCCATGCTGCATGTGCTCCTGTCACCTTTGAAGGAATCGCTAGATCTTCTAGGAGGGCATGGAACGACTGTTCGAATTCTCCTCCTTGATCATGGGTGACTTGAGCGGGGCATCCATAGAGCGCTATCCAGTGTCGCAAGAATTTCTCTGCCACATAGTCGGAGCGGCGGTTCTTGAGCATGATCGCATCGTGCTTGATGGTACCTAAGTCCAGAATGCTCAAGCAAACATACTTTTTCTTTCTGGAGTCGTACAGGTACTTCAGGTCCAAATGAAGGTGCACGTTGAAGCCAAATGGTCTCGTGGATACAGTTGAAGGCTTCGGGTGTCTTGGTGCTTGTCGTGCAGCACAAACTGAGCAATGAAACTTGCTGGCATACCTCAATGCATCCTGGCTGGCACCGCCCAACTTCAACATACGAGTCAAAGAAGCACGAGTTGGGTGTCCCAGCTGCCTGTGAGCAAATTCAACAGCTTTGCGAGTTTCTGCACTTACTGGATGACGTTCATCGTCCTCTGGGCCTTGATGCTCAGTGCCATGGAAACGAAGGGTGTCATCAAGTTGAGCTTCTTGGCGACTCTTCTGCTCCTCAATGTAGTCTTCACCAGCCATCCAATCGGGGACCGTGTCTTCAATCTCATAGTCCTCGGTGAAGGCCTCATTGGTTTTGTGAGTCAGCCAGGCTTCAGCCCCTTTCAAAAGTGCAGTGCAAAGCTCTTTGGGGTAACCACCAGCAAACTCTGCCAGTGATGCCCATTGACCTGTCTTGGACTTGTAGCCGCCTTCAATGATGTGGTGTTCGTGATCACCTGGGCACATCTTGTTTCTGAGCTCGGTCAGAGCACCATCTTCTCCAGCGATAATGGTGCGCTTCCTCATAGGCATGTGGTTGTTCGGATGTGCTAGGCCAACCTGGCATTGATCAAACTGAACATGTGCCAAACCATCGAAGGCCTCCTCAATCTCTGGAGTCTTCCAAGCCTTGGACGTGGCTGGATTCTCACCAAA